TGAGTTAAAATTAGTAGAGTAGTTGAAATTTACGAAACAAGTAAGTTAAATAAAGAAGTACTAAGTATTAGAAGTAAGTTAACGGGAGAAGTTAAAATGCGAATGGCTGAAATTGTGCATAGTCATAAAATTAGGGTTAAAATTAATGAATGCTTCTTAAAATATGCTGCAAATATACCAAGTCCGTTTCCTCAGTAAAGGTTAAACTGAGTATTAAAACTAAATATAAAACTAGGAAAAAATTAATTAAGTAGATAGCAGCATTTTAAAAAAAATGAGAAAATAAGCACCGATCTTAAGATGAAAATAACAGGGGTAGAGTAGACTTTAAGGTACCCCTTGTATCATGGCGAAGTTGTTGTTTGATTTATCGCCAAGTTGTTGTTTCATTTATGGTAGCGTGAGTAGTTGAATGTTATAGAAAACCTATTGTAACGTAATCTGGATGCATGATTTGGAAATACTCAATCTTTGGACTGTTTTAAGTGAAAATATATGGTGATGTGTTGGTTTGATTCTTTAGAGGGTAGAATGGCCGAATGTAGTAAGATTAATTTGAAGTTTCTGTACGATTTGGAGCGAAAGGGGAAAAGAGCTTTAATTGAATGATGTGTAAATGAAGGTTTACTTAGTAGCCATTATAAGTGTCCTGTATGTAGGAAGGATAGCCTCTAGTCGAACGTAAAAACCGTTTAGATGGATTTGAATGGGTTTGTAGGAAGAAAGGTTCAGATGATCACTATGTGAAGTGTTCGATCAGAAAGAGTACCCTGGCTTTGAAAAAACGTCCATTTCGAGTATGATTGATATTTTAATTTTTACGAGTGGTTCTGGGTGTACGAAGCAAACTCGAAAATCATGGTAAATGAATATTTGCTTTTGGTAGTGCTTAAATGTATAACATGTTTTTCCTTTTTTATGTTATTTTATTGTTTGGTTTAAAATGTATTTTATTATGTATTTTTTGTTTGCCTATATTGTAGAATTTGGTACTCCTTTGACTTTTGAAGTGAAAATATATCGATGTGTACATGGACAAAGAAAAGGGAGTGCGCAATGCAAGTTTGTGCAATTCTGGGATTTTTTTTAAGTGAAAATAGGTCGACGTGTACATGGATAAAGTTAAAAGAGTGCGAAATGCCAGTTTTGTGCAATTCGGGGATTTTTTTTAAGTGAAAACAAGTCGATGTGTACATGGATACCGAATTTGTGCAATTGTTTGCAGAGGCGTAGCTAAGGTTTCAGCGCCTGGGTACAACTGAAGATTTTGCGCCCCTTTCTCTGTTCCAAGAACGGAAAGCATTTCATTCTAAAATTTAATAACATCAATTTGGCGCCCCCTGAATGCTGCGCCCGGGGATGTTCCCCCTTGGCCAACCCTAGCTACTCCACTGATTGTTTGTCTTGTTAGTTTGGCTTTGTGTAGAAAAATCGCCGCTTCGCAAGCCAAAATAACGAGTCAAAGAACTGCACAAAATCGGTATCCATGTACCGCCAAAAATCGCCAAGTTTCGCCAAGGGGTACCCTAAACTATACTTTTATCAATAACAGTTAAGTAAATTGCAACTTGTACGTTATGTGCAATATAGATAAATAAAATAAAATAACTATCTAAAATTAAATAAAATAATAGAATTAATTTCGCAAAAACTAAGATTATGTGAACAATTATTACAAGGTGAAAATAATAAAACACGTAAATTAATTTCTACAGCACTATAAGACATTTGCTAAACAAGAACGTGACAATTAGTTGAATAAACTCATCACTCAGGTCGAATCAAGAGTTAACTACACTCATTACTCAAGTCGAATCCAGCTTGAACTCGAGTCCATTGACAGCAATGTCTGAGGATCCTACAGATTTTGAAGTTCTCACACCGAACTACTTTCTGATTGGAGTTCCAGTTTCTAAAATACCAGAGCAGGAGCGTTCGCAAGAGCCCATGTCCTATAGATAAAGATGGTAATTGCGTCAATCTGTCCCACAACATTTCAGGAAGAGGTTGTCAAGAGAATACTTTTCCCAACTGCAACAACGTCCTAAGTGACAAAGACGACAAAGACACTTTCAGGTCGACGATATTGTTTTACTCAAAGAAGAAAACGTTCCAATTCTTGTGGCGTATGGGAAGAGTCATTAGATACGTCCTGAAAGTGACGGTAAGATCTGTGTGGTATTGGTACGAACTGCACCCGGAGTACTCAAGATACCTATCGTTAAGCTTTGTATTTTATTGAACCGAAAGAAACTATTAATTGATATAGACTCTTGAGTATGATTTTCATTAGCAGCTTAAAAAAAGTTTGTATTCTGTTTTTTTTTTAAATGTTTGTGTATAAAACTGTAATTAATTGAAACTGTGTTTCCATGGTGGGCGGGATATTTAGGCCCACTCGAACTATATGACCAGAGTAGAAAAAGATCATCCGTTGTCTTGGTGATCTTTTTTTTACTTTTGCTCTTCTTTCAATATTCAATAAATATGTTTTCATAATTAAGTACGCTTGAAATTTGACTTTATAACATATGTTCTACAATGTGTGTAAGCTAAAGGGTACGTGATTCAGTGCCACAGCGACCAGTATTTCTTTCAGTCCTTGGAGCTGAGATTAAACTCATGCAGAGATACGCTAAACATGCTAGCCATCACGAATGCTCTCTATGTAAAGATAAACGAATAAAAAACTTAAAAGTCCTGTAACTGTAATTTGCAACATGCCACAAATTTTAGTTTATGCCCTAAAAGTATCTTAAATATGAAGAAAAGCACTCAAGATTAGAACCACGTGGCAGAACCAAGCACGAGGACCGGAGCATTTCTGAATACCCTGAAGAAGAAGCAGATAAACAGTTTGGAAGAACAGATTGTTTTAGGTGAAATAAGAAATGCCTAGACCACTGCTAAAGATAAAACATTAAAAACTTCCCGACTGGAGAAAACTTCCTGAAAAAAGCATTCCTAAACCTAGAAAACAGAATTTAAATTCACAAAATATTTCTGGTACATTAACTGATTTCTCAAAAATTTTAGAAGAGGTAAATAACATATTTTCGGAGTACTTCATATTTGATTTATTAAGTATATAGATGGAAGAATGCCAGAAATTATTGAAACCCCCTCCCCAGTTGACAAATTATTTGTTCTATTTCTTATATTTGAAGAAATTTTCAATCAGCATTTACTTGAAATCATAAACCAGTTTTATAAATGTTCTCCTTTTTCTCAGCTTTTCGATGACAAGTTATTCTATATAAATTTTGGTGTGTTTTGATATTTTAATTTTAATTGCCTGTTTTAAAATTTTCGTTTGTGGCATAAATGACTTGTTATGTACTCTGGAATTTTTTGTAATTGCGCTGTGAATATTATTATGCCTTTTAACCTTCATATTTTGTAGTAACCAGCTCGACAACTTCACGTTTTCGCCTTCTGGTGACCTTTCAAAAATTCTGCGTGGCCTTATGCTTATTTAGAAGTTCAAACATCTTTGTATCTTTAATATGTTAATGCGAAGTTATTGTTGACATGGACTCTGTCGATGAGAGTTGAATCTCGAGTTCAAGTACTCGAATTTGCACCGTTATTACCAGCATAATAATACGAGCACCAGGGTGATGTCCCATTGTTATCTCACACAGGTACAGTGGCATAGGCGGAACTTCAATCAAAAGCATTTTATTGTAGTGGTACATACCCGAATAATAAAATCGCGTCCATAATGCGGCGGCTGAGTTTATTAACCAGTGTATTTAATAAGCGGAGGGTATTCTAGTTATTTTTTACAAATCTCGCAAACTAAAATTAAGTAAAGAATAAATATAAAAAGTTCTTGTTTCTGTAACCTAAAATAGAAATGTGTCAATAGAATAACATGTCTTTTCTAAACACTTTCTTTGAAAAGGAAGCGATAAATTTTAATCTTAATAATAAAAAAAAGTTAATTCTATTTGAAAGAAATTTTAGAATTTTAAGCTTTTAAGATAGCTATTCGATCTCACTATAGAAATGACTAAAGCAAATCCCCTTAATCAAAGTACTTTTCCAAATAGGTGGAATAGGACAAAAGTTATCATATAATATTTTTTTACTTTGGAAATCTTCAATTATTCTTGTTTTTAAATGTGAGAAAAAATAATTTGAAAGGACACCAATTTATACATTATTTATTTGCAGTTGATAATAAAGCTAAAGCTCTTAGCTGACTAAGTTTCTCTTGTGTAATTTATGAGCGTCTAGAAAGTCCCTGAAGCTAATATTTTATGCTCCGTAAAGTAAGTGAACAAATTTTAGGCGTTGCATACAGTCGTAAAGATCAAGTAACCAAAAACTGAAAGGGAGAACGAAATTAAAATAATCATACATTATATCAATGAGAAAGGGATAAAAGTACAATTTCGAAATTTTTCTCACATGTTAAAATCTTGCGGACACAGCTCTGGTGTAGAGCAACTCGACATGACGGCACATTTCTGTCATTCTTACTTTCACATCACTATCTTGACTTTAAGAGTTACTCTTGGTCTCTATGTAATCACCTAGCACTGATCTGATCTATTCTTTTATTATTTTGGGTTACACTCCTGTCGGAGCTGTCTTGCAATTTGAAATTTTCGTTGATGAGCTCTTGATGTTGTTGCCAATCGATCAATTCTGCAAAACTTACCATCCTCATTTTTAAACATGAGTAAATTTAAAGTCGCATTTTAGTCAGTTGCAGAAAAAAACAAATGCCAACCAACCAAATTTACTTTGAAGATTTTCTCTGTCCTGTTCTTTTAAATTTCGGCTTTAAACTCTTTAAAAATTGTGATGTGAATATCATACATCAGACAATTAAATGAATTTATTTACTGAATTTATTTTTGCCTCTTAATTTATTTCTTTGAATTATTTTTTTCTTTCTTGCATGCAGAAGAGGAGTTCACTGTCAACACCTGCCCCTACCGGAAGAAAACAATTTTCGTGCAGTCCATGTCAGATGTCACAACCTTCTTTTATGGTTTGTAATGCGAGATTGGCCAATAAAAATAACGCTTTCATTTTAACAAAGGCTATGAAGTACAATTTTTCGACAGTGCTTTCGTTTTAATGATCTAACGATTAACTATAGACGTGCAATTAAGTAGAATTAATTCTTTGTAGTCTCATCCAGAAAAGCCTTGGTACAATGGCTGGTGTTTTAGTGCCTAAAATTGTTTTCAAACTGAAGTTTTACTTATTATAACCTGTAACTCCCTCGTGGGTGTTGTCGTGTTTAGCTGTCATCACACTAAAGCTTTTAAATAACTTTACACGCCGCAAAGTCATCGTGCTTTCATCCCTGTTATAGTTAGGTATGTACTCTATCGTTTTTTTAGGAAACTTCTGAAGTATGGCATACAATAGCATACTTTTTGAGTAAACATGAGTAGCCTTAATTTGAGGTAGCTCGTATAAGATATTTGATTAATATATATATATATCTAAAACTGACTGTTATATGTATTGAGTTGCATAGTTTCAGAAATAAGTTTGAATATTTCCGAATAAGTTTTTTAGTGCGTTTTATTGTGGGAAATAAACCAGTGGAACTTTTCTGATGGGGATAATTACCCGAGATAAGCTTACTTTATACAAATATTTTACTCTTTCACCAACGTATCAGTGATGGTTTTTGGAATGAAATCTTTGTGTAATTTTGCCGTTCTGATTATTAGACATGCGTTTGTATGACACTTTGTAGAATCAAAAATATTTACCTCCTGTATTCTGTAAGTATGTATCAAATTGTTAAATACTTTTAAATGATACACATGCTTTAAAGGCAATTCATTTGATTACTAATTTTGTATCATAAAGAAAATCAGATCCACTGTTTGAAGATTTCCTTCATCATATCATTTTTGAAGTGAAATATTTTTTATTTGTGTTTCTTTCTGACATTTTATCAGGCTGTATGACATGGCTGCTTCTTATAATCACACTGTTTAATCTACCATTAAAATTTAATTCCAGATGTGGATTACTAACAGTTTGATAACTTTGGCCTGTAGGACTGAAACTCGTTGAGAATGGTTAAAATTACTGCTAGTTTAGAAACCTTAAATTTTATCACTGAACTAAATTATTATGTGCTGTTATTGAGTTGGGATTTTTATAAGCTGTTTGTTAAATCCAATGCATAGTATATATATATTTTTTAAATTTTTATTTACAAGAATATTGAGTATTACAAATTCATGGTGAGTGGTATGGTTTATGCAGTATAGTGTTTACATTTATATCGAATTCACATTGCGATAAAAGAATATTAATGTAAATTAATATAAAAGGAATTCGGTGTCAAATTTTGTTGTATTCAGACTCTGGATATACAATAAAGCTGAATCAAATGAATTTTTTCTTCAACTAAATTTATGTAAATACTTATTGAATTAAGTACTGAAGACATTATATGTGTTACATTCTTGTGCACATATGCGAAACTTAACAACATTTGGCATGATTTATGTTTTTTTGCTCTAGCGTAGAATTGGGTGCCCCTTCGATTAGCAATAAATTAAAAAAAAATTGGTAAAATCCTAGTATACGGTGCAGCCTTGGCGCGACTTTGAAAATTATCGCCAACACCAAAAATGATCCAAAGAACATATATATATATTATACACACATAGTATATGTATTATACACACATAGTATATATACTATATACCATGGAGGTAGGAAGTAAGATGGAGTCGCCCTAAACAAGTTTCTCCGTACCCTGCTCTGAAGCACCGGCTATCCCTACGTGGTGACCAAAATATTGGGTCATTTACCATCGAGTTCTATGGGATTTGACACGTTCGGATGTAAATATTTTGTAATTACGTCGTAAATATACGTATAAATGTATATATTTTCTTTTTCTACAACACTTCAGAGTCCTAAGTATGTGAAAACAACATATTTTTAAACAACATTTCATTCTGAACGGAAGTAAATACTATACTTTTCACAGGACAGTTTTCTCAGAATGGTTTAATGAATGAAATATTTTCACAAGTTTTCGTTAATAACATTAGGAAAAAAAAATAAGGTAATTCGATTTTATTCGGTTAAGGTACAAAAATTAAGATCAAAGTTTATTGTATTATTAATATTAAAATTATGCATTATTTCTTTTCTATTTATAGAGCTTCTTCCTAAAATACTTTCTTAAATATGACATGATTTTTTGGCTTCTTTTAAATCGAAAAATGTAAGTCAATTTATAATTAATGCTCTATTCGGTTCATTTTCATTTTTAATTAGAGAATTATTAGGAATTAAATAGTATTTGACTTTCTCTGAACATTTCTGAAAGGGAATAAAATAAGTTTTTTTTTTTTTTTTTAAGTATTATTTAAAACTTGTAACTGAGTTATTATAAAATGTAAAGGGAATAATTCTTTTAATTATACTTATCAGATTTTTTTTTTTTTTTTACCCTTCATTTCAACAATACATATTCCAAAACTCTTTATTACGTTCTTAAGTGTGCATCTCATAGCATTTGCTTTACAATACCTTTTAACAGATTGCTTTCCAATACGAACAATTCTTGCTTAAATAGTTTTTATAACGTATTTGTCAACAGGATTTCAATTTATGTTTACAATTCAATATTAAGGTTATTATATATTTAGATAACATTTATAATCATTATAAATTAGATACATTTAATAATTAGATTTCTTCACAGTACTTTCACAGTTGTTTATAAGTGAATAAATTCTTCATTTCAAATACATTTATAAATAATTTAATGAATATTTAAGTATTTTGTCAAAGGCAGATACATGCTTTTTGCAAGCACATGCATAAATACCCATGCATATTTCCTATTTATCATTTCTGGCATGTGCAAATCTTTAATTTTTGTGCATTCACTATATTTTTCGTGTAAAGTAATTTACACTAATTTAGCATACACCCAAAAGTTTTACATAAAAAATATATATGAATATAATTTGAATGAAAATTATAAGTATTATTTTTAATACCCACTCAAAGGTCAGTTTTTCTTCAAAATTCCTCCACGATGGCATCTCTCTCTTTAGGCAGATAGCCCTTGCATGCGTTACTCTATTTAATAAAACTTAATCTGACCTATGTGCCTAATTACAAATATTTTAACACACATAATTTTATATTTACATTTAGCCATCAAGTTTCAAACTTTTCAAATCTTCTAGAAAATAAATTTTGGCAGATCTCTTTTAGCGATTTTCTTAAAATCTATATTTTTGTAGTGCAACAGCTTAGAATTTTATAAAACAAATTCATAATCAAAATCCTTGTTGTTAGTTATCGAAAAATAACCAAGATGTGATTTTTGCGTAAATGTCAGTAAACTATACAAATTGCTATTATCCATCACACTATGAATGTTTCTTTCATGCGAGAGTGTCCCTTTTTCGATTTCTATGGAACTGTCGTATGTCGAAATACTATCAGAATCTTGTCAAGCGAGCTTCTGAATGTAAACAAAGAACACCCCGTCTGGTGACTCAAGCTTCAAAGCAGTGCTTCACTTCTAGCGCGGAATGGCCCCTCCTCCCTTTCCTACCTCCATGCTATATACTATGTTTAACTATATATTTTCTTTGAATGACCCGTTAACTACTCATCGTATATGTCCCATTTTTACTGCTCATCATAAAGTCGCCAAAAGTAGCCAAATCCCATGTGCACCGGATAGTAGGATTAAACCCAGCCAAATCCCGTGTGCATCAGATATTAGGATTACCAAAAAATTTTGGCGACAAAACCTCATTTCTGGTTACCATGACAGTTTTAACTTTGTTTTAGCTTTCTGATTTTTTTGTGCAATTCTGGGATGTTTTTTTAAGTGAAAACAGATCGATATGTACATGGACACAGAGTTTGTGCAATTCTTTGACTCTTTATTTTGGTTTTGTGTAGTGGCCATCTTGAAAGTGTGCCTTTCTGGCGCCGATTTTAGCGTCAAAAGAGAATCGCCAAAAAACAAGAGGTACCCAATTGTAAACTTTTACCATGTTTTTTTCTGTTTCAAGTTCTTTCTTTTACTCATGTTAAATTTGGGTAATGAAAGCAAATATATGGTCTGTTGAGTATTTGAAGTTTGTGTGCATGCAGTTTTGCTTATCCTAAACTGTGACTTGGGCTGCGAAATACATTTTAATATCTTTGCATGTGCATATGCATTTAGGAAATGCAAGACAAAGATGTGAATTTATTCAAATATTGAATGGCTGCCATAAAAAGTGAGCAATTACGACTCCTTCCAAATGAGTATCTATTTTCTTTGGTGAGAAATACTGCATTTTTTTATTTAGAAGCCTTTATTTTTATTTTAAATGTTTTTTTTTTTTTTTTTTTTTTTGTGAAGTTTTCAACTTCGTATACATAGAAATTAGGAGATATCTGAGAAAAGTCTCATCATGGATTAAGCAAGATTAATTTTTAGAACTGTTGCATTTAGTTTGTATTTCATCACTGTAGTGTTTGTTAATATTTATTATACTGTTTTAATTAAATGTGATGGTCAAATATAATGTTAATATTTTTAAGTAATAGTTTACCTTCTAAAAATATTTTTCTAAATTCTAGTTTAGTCAATTTTTTTTATATGCATGTTTAATATTTTTTATCTTGATGATATTGATTTCTGTACATTCTATAAATATGAAATTGAATAAAGCAGGTAAAACAATACCCTTTAAACTATGTTAAAAATAGTTTTAAACACATGATTTTAATTTTGGAACAGCTTGAGTATAACACCCCATTGGCAATTTTTTGGCTTGGCGACCAAATAATGTCAGCAAGCCATACAATTAAAGCAACCACCAAATGTTAAAAAACTGAAGTCATTTGAAAATGCAGTCACTACAATTTCTAACTGCACATGCAGTTTTATTCATTAGCAGACCTCTTCTACAATAGAACTATAGAAAATAAGTAAACTGTCTGAAATCAAGTTTTAAAAATCGAAAACAGATCTGATTTGAATGAGGAATGATACTGTTGTGTAAATACTGTATTTGACGGCATATATGATGCACTGGCATATAAGATGCACCCTTATTTAGAAGGCCACACACGAGGAAAAAAGTTTCAATAGTCCGCACGGTAGCGCAATACCACAATAACTTAAAATTTGGTTTCTTTTAGTTCTCATGTTTCGTAAAAGCCAAATAAACAATCATTGAATGCAATTACCAAACATATTTTTATTAAGGAAAATTAACAAACGGCAAGCTATTTTGAACATGATATGTAAATTTAAATAATGAATAAATGAATGAACGGCAAGCAATCACACATAATACAAAATAAAGCAGAAACA